TTCGCGTTTTACCTGCGGACGAAGGTTTGGTGGATTAATGGAATAATTTGTCTTAGGATTGCATACATCTTGGTAATGGTAGGATATCTAGCTAGGCGGATTTAGAGACGCACCGAGATATTGTGATGAATTGGTGGTGAAAGGAAAGGCGTCTTCGAACGAACGGCGTTCGTCATATTTTTCTGGATGAAAAGAGTTTGAGTTGAGAATTTTCAGAAGAGAGCGAGAGTGATAGGCGTGTGTTGGTATGCTATTTGGATACTTTTGTCGTGTTTGAAGTATTTTCGTTTTATTGGTGTTGATTGTGTTTTGGGATGAACTGGTATAAGAAGGATGACTATGATGTTTTCCCGGAGCATGACGATGCACACGAGCAGGGGGGCTATTCGATATACTCGTAGCATAGCATGCGGGTGGTATATTGCATATTCATATGCAGGTATTGCAGTGACGAACTACAGAGGAACAAGGAGTTTCTTTATGTTTTCCTTGGGAGTGTGGTTGGTGTAGATTCATGAAGATTCGTTTTGGGTGTTTGAGCGTTATGCGTGACTTGATGCCGTGATGGTTTGACGAGCACGAGCACGCCCCCGATNCGTTTCCCAACACGTTTTTACCCATCCACGCCCCGTCATGGGCCACCCGCTCTAAACTCCAAGCACATAGAACTGGGTCACCCGAATTATCGATCACCTGCCACACGTGCGCTCCGTCACCAGCGAGAAGGTTCTTCTCATCATGGACAACCACAGCAGCCACGCCGACCTCGTAGACACCAAGGAGCAGGTGAAGATTCGTGAGCTACCACCCAACTGCACGAGCAAGCACCAGCCCATGGATGCCGGGATCATCGCAGCCTGGAAAGTGCGGTACAGGGCGAAGCTGCTGGGGATTCGCGTCGACACGATGACGTCGACAACGCAGCTACGGGAGCAGGCGAAGGAACGCAAGGTGATTCGGGGCTGCATGAGGCTCGCGGAAGGAGCGCAGCCTCACATCCTGGACGCAGCTGAGCTAGGCCTCGAGGCGTGGAAGGAAGTTTTGCCGGGGACAATCAAGAGGTGTGTCCATGTGGTGGTGTTCACGACATTCTTTAATAACTGCTGTATAATTTCCCCCCTCTAGACACATACCGTTACCAGGTAAATTTCACGTTGACGAAATTGTTAACTGACGCCATCATCTTGCAAGTTTTGTTTGAACTGAAGACATAATCAAATGCTTTTTTTTCGTTCGGCTCGTTCTGTTTTTTTTTTTCTCGCCGTGCACGTTTCTCTCTCCTTCCCGAGCACTTTGACTATTCATCGTTTCCTAGGTGCTGGGGGAAATGTGACATCCTTCCTCCTGCGGTGCATGTTGGGATAATCCGAACTGGGGGTAGCTTGTCGCAAGACGTGTGTTAAATAGGGTATCGGTAACTCGGCGGGCTTGCGCCGAGGAGAAGAACTTGTTGTTCGTTGTATCCACACAAGCACGAAAACACACACACTTAGGGTAAGGGTTAGGGTTAGGGTTAGCCTAACCCTACCGTAACACATACACGAACACCTCCCTTGGCCAATTCGTGTGAGATCACCACTTCCACCACGCACGCTCAGTAGCGTGGTGGAAGGCAGTAGCAGCAGCAGCAGTAGTAGACTGATGGACTGACGTGGAATCGCTTTGCACTGGAGCCTCCAGTCGCATAAGCAATGAGCGGTGTCATGAACCGATTTGGCACCACCATCACCCGTACCTGGACCTGCGCCACGATGCCCAACGGAAGTACGGTATTCATGTCCCCTCTGCATCAGCGAAGGGTCAACGAACCTGACGGCGAATAATCTGGCTACACACCAAAAACGTCAGCATAAAGGTCGAGGAAAGGAGCTACTACTCAGTTTGTCTCCTCCTGGATCCTTGCACTCGAGCAGCCAAGCACCTGGTTACGCCGCATGTGGCACATGCGGCGACCTTTTCTCTCCACGCACCAAGCATTGTTGCGAACCAGGTACTACATCGTCTCCATCTCTCTCTGGGTCGTTGCAGCCACCGCAAGAGGATGATGACGACAGGCGGCAACTCCTATTACCNTTGTTGCGAACCAGGTACTACATCGTCTCCACCTCTCTCTGGGTCATTGCAGCCACCGCAAGAGGATGATAACGATAGGCGGCAACTCCTATTACCGTGGGACCGCAACGACGTCAGCAGTGCCCTGGATCAGGTTCGACAAGAAACTCTTGCAACGTCATTTTTTTCGACAATCAAACACGTCGATCCGCAACTGGCGAAAGTATTTTGCAAACACTTCGGACATGTCGTCATCCTCTTCGTGCAAGCGTTCGGAGCTGTACACATGGATCAGCACAAGTCAAATACCTCAGATCTGTCTCCTCTTGCAGCGAAAAGGTGTGAAGTAACACGTGTTGAAAGACAGCTCCAACTTGTCCGAGCAACAAAGTTGCTTCATCTTACCCCAGCACTGCATGGATCGACTGATGGAAGAATGAACAGGGTGTTTCGATTTAACCGCTTTGCAAATGGTGATCTGAGTGAACCTATCGCGTGGCTCATGATGTACGAGAAGCATCGTCGACTTCAGTATTACGCGGATACTGAAGACAATCGCCAAAGAAGACCCACAAGACTTGCGCATGAAAGAGAAGGCATCACGAAAGCTGCCAGTGCCTTAATCTTCCCAGCACCTTCACCGCGAAACAACGACACGCCGGAGCATCTTCGCAACCTACACCCTAACGAAGATCCTGACGATATCAATATAATGCTACTGCGTGGGATTTCAGCATCAAAGCTGCGGGAGATAGTATAAAAACGCACAAGATAGACTCCGTCACCGAAGCTGATGAACCATTCGAATCAAGTTCATCAAGCAGACGGTGAAGAAAGCCAACCCTCAGAGTGCTCCGGGGCCTGATCGCCTCCGTTTTTTGAATCTCAAAGCTGGTGGGATGAGTGATTATTTTACTGAAACCTTGGCGGACTTCAGCTTTCAAGTCTTCTACTACGGAGACGAGCTTCCGGATTTCTTTTGGAACCTCCACACCAGTGCCAACCTTTCAGCGCTGGGAGAGAAAAAACGGCCGATTGCAGTTGGAGGGGTTTTGCGTCGCATCATCAGCGGCAGCTTCTGCCGCCAGTACAAGGGAGGAATTGCGAACATCTTCGAAGCAGCAAATCAGTTCGGAGGTGGTGTTCCAGGAGGAGTTGAAATAGTGGCTTCCACAGCAGCCCTCAGCCACCAGCAAGGCAGCACCATTCTCTCCTTTGATGGGAAAAACGCTTACAACAGCATGCGCAGATCTTCCATCTTGCCAGCAGTGGCCACTCATACGCCACACTTGGCGAAGTACTTCGGGAACATCTACGCTCGAACCAAGGCGAAACTTCTGTTCAAAATGGAAGATGGTTCGATCGAGGTTGTTTTTTCACAGCGCGGAGTTCAACATGGCTGCAATTTGGGAGGTTTCGGCTTCTGTGTAGGACTCGTTGATATCATGAAAGAGTTCAACAACAAGCCACCAGTGCCAGGAGTCAAACTCATCGGATACGTCGACTACCTCCAAGCCCATCTTCCACCAGGTTTGGCTAGGTACATGCAGGCCATATCCACTGTAACGAATTGGATGCAGGAACGTCTCTCCCAAAAAGGGATCGAGCTCGGTCTCCCGAAATCCAAAGTGTTTTTCCCGTAAGGTCTTTGCATGTCCTCTTTGACAAACGACGAACAGCAACAACTGACGAAAATTGGTCTGTCAGTTGCTGAAGGTGGCATGCCAGTTGTCGGGATCCCAGTAGGAACAGAGGAGTTCCAGAGGAATTTCGTTTCCAAAATCGCCCGTGGTGACCCGGCGGAATNTTGACAAACGACGAACAGCAACAATTGACGAAAATTGGTCTGTCAGTTGCTGAAGGTGGCATGCCAGTTGTCGGGATCCCAGTAGGAACAGAGGAGTTCCAGAGGAATTTCGTTTCCAAAACCGCCCGTGGTGACCCGGCGGAATTATTACTCCGCCTAGCAACGCTTGACGACACTCAAGCCAGCTATCAACTGCTGCGTTTATCTGGTGTGCCACGTTTGTTCCATCTGCTGAGGACGATTGCACCGTCTATCACCAACTCTGCCGCAAAAATACACGACAACAAGATGATGTGGGCAATGGGTAAGATCGTCCTTTGCAAGATGACCGATAGAATGAGAATACCAACAGTCAAAGAAGTACGCGCAGACCCGAATAAGAGCGAGGAGGTAGATTTCTTGAAAGGGACAGCTCCGGCGCAGGTGCACCTACCCACGCGTGAAAGAGGACTAGGAATCACGAGCAATGTTCTCATTCGAGAATCGGCTTTTGTGGCAGGGCAAGCGCTGGTGTTCTCCAAGTCAGTGCAAGCATCGACAGGATACACAGTTGAGCAATGTCTACCCCGGCTTGCCCAGCTACCGACAGGGTTGGCTCTGATTGACTCGCTGAAGAAGCTAGAGGAAATCATCACCAAAGACAAGCTTGAAAAAGCTGTTGGGCAGTCATGGGCTAAACTTGCCACAAGTGATGAGTTAACCCCCGCCCTCAAAGGAGTTTACTTGTTGGAAGCAGGGAAGGCGGGAAAACCCCGTGAAGATGGAAACCCTGACGTACAACATCAACCACCGTCTACCTACAGCCGACATGAATTCGGTCAACACTACCAAGTCTTTGGGGCCCAAGCTCTCCTTTCGAAACCTCTTCATGCAGCAGTGCGCCACATGGTGGAGACAGACTTGCAGAAAGTAGTAGGCGAGGAAACGCCAAAGAAGAGGGCGTT